TCCCACCTGAACATTCAGAGCTTTAACGGAGATGCATGGACAGCTTTCATTTCAGTTGCTATTTGTGCCATGTGGGGAGTTATCATTGCCCACATTTCTGTGTAGGTCTAATTTATTTAGGATATGCAGTAGGAAATATTCAGCTTGGCAATTCTAATATGCAGTCCCCTACAGTTCACGCAGTTCATTTTTTTCTAACTGGCTGGAGTTGCCCTCCTGCTGTATTAGCCTGATACTGCCCTCCTGCTGCTCTGTCCACCTGCTTCAAATTTATTTCCAAACTGCATCACTACTGTAGGATCTTCTCCCCAAGGGGAACGACTTAATAGGGTTACTCTTGATGTACTCAGATTCTTCTGCACTAAGATTTGACTACTGACTATGCATTTTTTTTTTCATTTTCCATTCCTCAGCTGAAGATAAAAATCCTCCAGCGAAAGGAAGATGCCTTAATGGAAGATACTTTAATCCAAACCCTGAAATAGGCACATAAGAACATGAGTCACATGCTGTTACAAGTTATGATGTAGTATTTATTTCTTCTCAATATAAGAAGCAATTGAAAAATATACCATGTAATTGTTTTGAAGTAGATCCCAAAGTAGACTAACACATAAAATGGCTTCCCCTTTTCCCCTTCTGGAGCAAACCTGTAAATTTAACAGCAAATGGTAACCTATAAAATATTTAAACCATTACATAGAATAATATCCCTGTTATAGAATTCCATTGAACAGTTTAAGCAATTTGTAGACAGGAATTACATCTTTATTAAACCTTACACAGGAATTTCTACACAATCTTACTGGTTTCAGCCTTATTAAATTGTATACCACCCTTCAATATGAGACTGAAACACCTCCAATGCTTCAGATATCCTTTCACAGGTTACAAACGTAAATTTGTTGCTACCTTCTTTTCTTCTTCTAACCTAAATTACTATACAGCGCTTTGCAGACTCTTACAGATTTGCTGAGAAAACAATTCCTCACTATCTCAAAATGACCATTTTTCCTTGTAAAACATGTTTGTGTGCACACAGATGATAGAGGGGAAAGTTTCTTATTTTCAAATGCAACTGAATAAGCTCTTACTGGAAAATTAAGGATTTCTGGAGAGAATTCGGCAGAACAGATGTATGCTTTCCCCAAACAAAAAACACGCATCTGTTTCCTAGAAATCTAAACAATAACAGCAAAGCAGTCACACAAACAAGTTATGTTTAGGTTTTGTTTGTGGGGTTTTATTCTGGGTTGTTTTTTTTGTTTGTTTTGTTTTTCCTACAGATGGCTCTTATTTTTATACAAATGGGGAAAAAAAACACAGCGAAGTTTCTAAATGAAGCAATGAAGTTCATTCTTATCAATGAAATTTAAATGGTTTGCGGGATAAATCTGCCCAAATGTACCTAAAAACAGTACAAAAGCCTTCCTTATTAAAATGCTGCCTTTCAGCCTCCTTGCTTCCATTTAGTCACAGTCTGATCTCCTTATCAATTCATTTTTTCCATTTCTGTTACCTGCAGATCATTTTGCCTTGCTCCTATAACATGGATTTAGAGTTTTCTGTCAGGAACTGATATGATCCAGAGCAAAACCTTTTAATTAGATATTCCTGTTCCATGCTCAGAGCTGACAGGAAGGATATGATTTTTAATGTCATGAACAACATTTCCCCCTATCCCCGTAGTGCTTTGCAGTCACTAAAAAGTGAATTGACAGGAGGGAGTTCCCTAGAGTATCAAAACTCCCCCATCCAGAATGGCAAAACACCTTAATGTAATTAAGTATTAGGATTAATTTCCTAATCCTTATATTTTTCATTTGTCCATTTGAGAGACGGATCTCTAATTAAATTTTGCTTTGGTCACTGTAATGAGAACAATATCCTCTAGAAGTCCAGCCACAGTCAGCCTGTGTGGATAGCAGTGATAAGGCTGGGTAATTGCAGGATTAATAACTGGCCTTTTATTGTGTCTGAAAGCAGCGTAACAGTATATAGACTTTCCAAGTAACTTGAAAACAAAGCCACATTGTACAATATTGCTACCCTGATCACTTTTTCATTTTTTATTTTTTTTGCAAGCATGGGAACAATTGGACTACAAAGGTATGATTGTTCCTAGGTCATATTCTCCTCTAGGGTTTCCAAAAAGCAAGCAATGATGCTCAGGCAGCTCCAGTAGCTCTGTGACAAAGTAGAACAAGTTTCAATAACTGCTGTTATTCCTCTTCATTTAACAGTGCAGGCCACAGGGTAACTGTTTAATGTGCTAGCCAGTTCCCTGAACCTCTTGTATGTTTGCTGAAACATGACGCATTTTCCTAATACTTTGAGCTTCTTGAATAAGTGCAGGATTTCAAAGTTAAAAAATAAAAAAGAATAAAAAATCTAGGGACCAATGTTGTACTGAATAATCCAGCTCTGGAGACAGATCTTCTGCACAGTAGCATTCCTTCTTTGTGGCTGGGACACTTCACCCTCAATTAGGGAAAAGTACCTTTTAATAGAGATGTTCCCCTTTATGGATAGGTAATGATGCTGAGAAAGTGGTAGGAGCTAGGAGCCAGGCAACCAGCGTGATCAGCTAAGCTGCTATGGATTTTAATTAATGTGCAGAATAGAATGTAGGCTTGGACAGTTTATCCATGCCATCTGGTTACCGTATGGATGCAAGTGAAACTTGAACCTAATCTAATAGGTATGTAAATTGTATGAAAGGAGCTGGTAAAAATCCCTACATAAAACAAACTTGCATTAAACAGACAGGTGAAAGAAGAGGTTGCAGAAGTTGCTCAGGCTGCTGTGAAATCCTCTTGCACCATCACGGGACCAATGGGGAGTTTGGCACTGGCTGCAGAATATCCTGCCTGTCTTCCACCCTACTCCCTACCCTGCTACCTCCTAGGTGCCATTCCCATAAAAGATTTGTTTTCACAGCTTCTTCTGCAGAAAACATTACCTTCATCTTCACCTTCCTCATGAAATCAGATCTTTTTTCTCTCTCCTGAACAGGCCTTTCAGTAGCTATGCCACATATATTACCCAACCTAAAGAACTTCATAACAGATGCTCAATAGGCCCAAATGCAGGGCTGTCAATCCACACAGAACTGCATGGGACAGTGTTAGGATCTGGCTTAATCCTTCTGATATATAATTAAAAAAAAAAACAACTAAATACCCAAGAAGTCCTATTTTGGTAGAATAGACCCAATTTGCATCAACGTAGCAAATTTGTCAATCCACAGGAATTCAAAAAACAAACAAACAAAAATCTCTGCAAAACTAAATGAACTTAAAAATTTCACTGTTCGGCTTTCTTTTATATCACATTTAGCTCATTCACCCTTCCTCATCATCTTTAATTTCCTCCTCCCCACCTCCCAGTGCAACTATAACCTGCATTAGGAGACTTCATGTATACCCTTCTCAAAGACCTTTAACAACAGTCTGAGAGAAATTAATGCTATTGCTTTTCATTTAATCTTCAAGCCATATTTTCACTCTGATCTCTTTCTAAGATTACTTTAGTGTACATATTTCCAACATGAACATATACCTAACTTCAGCCAAATCCAAAAATTATGCCTCTCATCCAGTATCTAGAGTTCAACTGACTACAGAGACTTAGATCTCTTCAGGACATGATTTCTGTGACATTTTTGATTGGCAACAGAATTGGCCAACATAAAAGCTACCGAGCCTTTGTATATTATATCATTTTAGATATGGAGAAGCATAGCCATTTCTTCCATATGCATTAGCCCTGTACACTACTGTAGATTAAACTGAGTTCAAACAGACTGATATCTTTGAAGGTGGATGTTTGTTAAATCCTGAACAGACTTAATTTCAGCATTCAGAGATACAGAGTACTAGTATTATGCCTCTTCAATGTGGCTTTTTGCTTAATAAAAGTAAACCTCTTAAATACAAAAGTCAGCAATGTGCCATGAGGGATGTTTTGAGGCAATTTTTAAAATAAATTTTCCATTTTACAAATTTTGTATTTTCCATAGGAAAAAAGATCAAAAGCACATCTGAATTCTAGTAATTAGATCCGTCAACCAAAACAGAAAATCATAAATGACAACTTGTTTGGTTTTGACAGTTCTAAGGCATTACTGCTCTTCTGAAAGAAAACAGAGATGTGCTGGAAGACAAAGAGACATCCAATAATTTAGGAATGAAGTGTTTTAATTGTAGAGTACATGACCAGTCAGCGAATATATGTCAGAAGCATGTATGTGTCTACGAAAGCCCATACATACAACTGATAAAGGGAAAGAGAAGTCTATTCTGTTCTCAAATAATACAAGATCCAAATGTGGATTTAGTAAGAGATATTACTTGGACTACACTGCATATCCTGAAACCTCCTGAAAAAAACATGCAGTATTTCTCCTCTAGAGTCTGTATATCTCCACAACTCAGAACAGTGCAGCTGGGGTTGCTCATCATTGTGCCATGAAAATAATAGCAAAGGACTCTTCTGTTACTTTGTGAGAACACTGAAAGGCTGACTAATTTCTACTGATAATCTCTGTCCTGACATCAGACACTGTTGTTTCACCCCACACCCATCTGCAGTGAAATAAAATTATAGAAAAGAAAAAAAAATCAGAAAAGACACGAGCACTGAGGCCTGAAAATGTTGCCTAGTTATGAAAGATTTTGCCACACTTATTAATCTTTAAACCCTTAAGCAACCTTTTTATTTTTCTGTTTTAAATAGTCAGAAGTCAGTCAAGCTGCACAGCACCAAGGGTGTGTGCTGGCAGAAAATACACATCTGAAATTCCTTTGTAATCTAAACACAAACACACACACTGCTTTTTTATGTTTTGGGTTTTTTTTTTTAGGCTCAAGCTCACAAATACCGCATATGAAGTTATGGATTAGAAAAAGTACTGCAGCATCTCAGCTTTTCCACACAGGAAGAGAAGCATCTTTTCTCCACTTTTATGAGTGACATGATATCTTGCTTACGCTTCCTACCTTAGTAGTCCAGCTGTGAGATCCATAAAGCAGCCATTGAATCTCTTGCCTCTTCCTTTAGGTGTGTCACAATGTGAAGCTTTCTTCATGTTGCCCATATGCCAGCAGTCTTAAAAAGGTGCTCTTGCTCTGCTGCAATCATCTTTGCAACAGACAGTAAGTTGATTTCAGGAGAGCTGCTCCCTGTTTCAGTGAGAACAGAAGCAGGTTCCCCCCACAGCCCCCAGTTAAAAGTACTTAGCTGAAGGAACAGGCAGGTTTTTTAATTCCTATTAAGTGTTCCTGGAACTAATGCTTGTGCTGATCAGATTCTCCTAATTAAAAACTGTCAGTTTGAAACAGTCTAACATTTTTCTGCAGAGTGATTTGGTAAAAGATGAGGCAATGTTAAACAGCGAGTGCAATGTCGTCTCTAGCAAGTCTATCAGAATTGCATCATTTGCTTCAGCTGGGGGTAGAATTTTTTTCTTTGACATGTTCAGCATCATGCACAATAAAGAACATGAGTGTCCCAGATCTTTATTTTCTTTCCATGACCACTATTCAGTGTGGGAGTTGCACGTATGTCCTTGACGAGACTTAAAATTTAGAATAGTTTCATTAGTTGCCAAGAGTTTCCAAGTTATTTCACAGACACTTATTCATATTCCAGCTACCTAAGCAATCCTGGTCCACTCTACTGCAAGGAAGCCTTCTCCAAAATAACCAGATTAACCGAATATCCTCATTCTTCCTGTTTGGCAACATTGCCAAGTACTATGGAATCATATTCTCAGGATTAAATGTTCCTAAATGTTTCTGTATCCTTGTCCTCCTCTCAGCCACTGTGTACAGAAAAACAAAATACTCCTGCAATGGTTAAATTCTTCTGTGCCCAAGGAGGGAAGGAGTAGGATTTCAAGATACATTAATACCTCCTCAGGGAAAATGTGTTAGGTACGTGGACTCACTGTTAACCTCAGTCCGAAGGAGGAGCACTTAATAAGCAGTAGTTAGTGGAGCCGCATAGTGGAGCTCACATAGGTGAACAAAGAAGGTAAGACTTCCACATTTGAGTCAGATGGATCTATTCACATCCAGATGCCTCCATGACAATTACAGCAGAAGTTCACTCCAGGCAAGGGCTAGCTAGTCATACCTGAAAGCCTTTTGACTGCAGTATCAGGTTGCTAGCAGGAAGCATTTTAAACCAAAGAAGTAAACACCAGGGGAAAGAAGAAAAGATCAGTCTGAGGTCTCCCAGATATTCAGAGGTCGATATGAATTTCCAGGGCAGGACAGCAAGTGAGAGAGGAGGCTGTGACCATGCTGTGTGACAAAGGCGTTTGTGAGAAGGGGCAGGGTAGATAGCAGTGCTGCCTCACTAGCTTCTCGCGTTGTTACAGCGAAAGCATGTGGGAAGGGGAAGCATGGTGCTAGAAAGACAAGTACCATCCTCTCTCCTGTAAGTAGATCATAACAGTTCAGAAGCCAAACCTCTTTGCACTGCATCCCTTCTTGGAGGTGCATGAGGCTACAGCCAAGCTCAAAGAAGTGAATGCATTGCAGAAGTGAGTTTTAACATGTAGAGAGCCCAGAGAGAATTAATAATAAATAAAGTACACCTCAGAAAAGAAACTTTGAGTTACATGCAGATATTTGAACTCAGTAGGAGTAGTCTGTTTATAACTGCGAGCAGAAAGTGGTCCTGTGGGCCCAGGCATTTTTGGTCCTTTATTCAAAAATACAATATCTGCTTGATAATGCATACACTGTTTTGTCATTAGTTGTCAGCACACCTCCCAAAACAAGTTGTCCCTCTGTGGTTTTATAATCATGGGAATATTCTCAACAGCCCTATCAAGCATGTTTTATTCTGGCTCCAGACATCTCTGGAAAATAGCCTATTGAATCACATCGGAAATCAGGGCAGAGTTGACTTCCTGGTGGACTCCAAACAATCCAAAGGCTCTCCTTGGAAAGCACAGCCTGTGCTCTATTATTTGCGCAATGCCACACTGCCCTGCAGCTGGGGTAATCAGCTCCATCTCAGCAACTCCACCCCCACCGAAAAGGGTGAGGAAATAGCCATCTATTGTTCCAGGAGTTTATGCAAGAGGGGTTTGGTTTTCTGTTTTTGTAAATTATTTTAGCCACTACTTGTAAGAGATAACAGTGACCTGGTTGCTGAAATGCCGCCTTATTTCCCTATTTACCTCCTGTTAGCTACAATACCAAATCACAGTGGTGTTTACCTGGCAAGCAAAAGTGGAAAAAATATCTGTATGGGACAGCTTCTTACTACTGTGAGGTGTCTCCTTGACATTAAATACAAAACAAAAAGCAAAAAAACACAAAACAGAAAACAAGAACCCCAACAAAATCTCCCCTTTTCTTATTATCATATGAAAAAGGAAAAACATTTTCAACTCTGAGGCAGTGCCAAATGGTTCAGCAGATTTCAGAGACTTGAAGACACTGACAGACTGCAACTCCTGCTGTTTACCAGAGGGATTTAAGAGGTTCTCTTTCTTAAAATAGCTATATTTTTGTCTTCCTAAGGGTCAAAACTTGCCACTTCCACACTGCTTTCTGTAGACATTTTAACCATGCCACACTCAGCCATGTCAAGGGACTGTGAAGAGACTCTTGAGATTCTTCTGTCTGAGGCTAAATGGGAAGGATTGGTTGCACTCCTGCAAACATTCCCACCAGAAACACTAAACTGCAGGGGAAAAAACGCTTCACATGGGGTGTTTCACTGCACAAAAAGCCCCTTCAGCATATTCTCATGGCAATGTATCAAGCTGGATAACATGAATCATATTTACCTTATATGATGTGACATTGTGACACATGACAGAGTACCTAAAAAAATCATTACGCCTCAAGAGCTTATAACCCAAATGGAATTTAAAGGCGTATTAGTCAGTTATGCCCACCCCCTGTCCGCTATTATCTGCAACAGCGGGGGACTCGCTACAATGAATCAGAGCTTAGTGATTCTTTCCATGTGCACAGGAAACACCGATTAATTGGAACAGTGACAAAAAAGTCTCTTTACCTGGTAAACAGAATTCAGCAGTGGGATTTTACTTAATGAATAGTATACAGTTAAGTACTTCGATCTGTGGAGGTGAGAGGTATAGAAAGCTGATTAGGTACCTCATATCCTATTGCTTTTTCATCTGCTGGAAGCTTGATATTTTTAGCAGTCCTCACACAGTAGTCACCACAACTGCCAAGTTTTATGTCATGCCGTAATGCAGGGAGATACTTCCCCAAATTAAGAGAGAAACAAAATAAGAATAGAGATCCTTGCTCCATCTGGTTTTCCCATAAATATTCCATTTCCTCACACTGGACACCTGCCATCCCCTAGTCCCTCATCTGTTCACTCTGTCCCACCCCAGCAAGTTCCTTGCTCAGCTCCTTACCCTGCATTAGGAGATCCTTGTGGGTCTGGCACAGCTGGCAGTAAATCAGCAAAGGCCCTGACTACTTTTGCATTAAGCATGCTCTGGGGCTTACTACACATTGCACTCTGGGGCATAGTTCCACTACAAAGCATACTGGATTTAAATTGTTTACCTATCTAAGCCTTAATTTATGATCTCTACAAATTCCTCTAAAATGAAAGAACCTTTTATTTGTACCATCTTTATTTAAAAAATAGGGGACAACTGTCAAGGGCACAAAATGTTTCTGGCACCAACAGTTCCTGCTGAAAGCCAGTGAGACTTGGACATAAATGTCTTGTTTATGCCTTTGAAAAATCTCTTCCATAGTCTCATCAAGACTAAAAACCTACAGAATAAACTCTGAATTCAAATACTGTCATCAATGAAATAAAAGGATTTACAGGACATGTGGTGGCAGAAAGCTAGATTTGACCATAGGAGCAGCCAGCAGCACTAGCAGATATTAACTGTCCTGTGTGACCTTGCAATGATGTTTAAAAAAATTATCTGACTGCAGGCTTGCAAGAGAAAAGAGGGAATGAAAGATACAGGGGGGTGGGAGGCTACCTAGAGAACACTGGTTGGGTTCAGAGAGAAAAATCCATCATTAGGATTTACTCCATGCTTTAAGGAAACAAGGCCACTTCATGTTGTCCCAGGAGGTGATGCAGGACACAGGAGGTGATGCAGACCATTGCCTGAGGGCAGGAAAACAAGCAAGAGGCTTCTTGGCAAATTCTCTCTAACATTTAAGGGTTAAGGGAGTATCTAAATATAAAACTTTTCCAGGAAAATATCCAAAGGCAGCTGAGGAGAGTGACAACAAATGTGACCATACGTGGGGAAGGCAACTGGTCAATTATTAATAATGCTAGATCAGCTTCCCTGGAATTTCATTCAAATTAATGAAAAAATAATGTTTTCATCAAGAAATTGATGGAGTGATATTAAAAAAAAAAAAAATTAACCCCCCCCAACCAACAAAACCCCCAAATACACACACACACACACACACACACACACACACACAAATCATCCTTATTTCTCAGAACTTAAATTTTTATTCTTTCTACGGGGGAACTGTATGTGTGAGTGACTAATAACAATCCAGCCATCTGAACTTCCCTCAGAAAAACTCATGTTAATTCAAACTGCACAGGAAAAAAAAACAAACCCTAACCAAAACTACATATATTGCCTGCCTCAGAGCATTTGTGAAAGTGTTATGATCTGCAGAACTGTCATGCACTGTCAGCAAACAGCAGACTTTAGAGCACCTTTAATGTTACACCACAGTGCTGTTGTAGTTGATAATTAAGATAGTTAATGTGCAAGCTGGCCTTTAAGTGTTACACTAATCAAAATAATGAATTGCTTTTGTATGATGACCCCATAGCTGTATCTTACTGCTCACCGGACAGAAAGAGAGTTTTTTTTAACAGTTCCTGGTTGTGGCACTTGTAATTGTGCATTTCTGTGGTGGTAATGAGAAAGGGCATGACTTACTATCAGGCTTGTACAGAACCTGAGCATATTGGTGATCTACACAGATATTATCTGAGTAAGTGTAGCTCCCACAGTATCATATTCAACCTCATGGTCTTCCAAACCCAGAGGCAACATGAGGAATTCAGTCCTTTAGCATTTCTTCATTACTCCCGCAGGCACACAGTGTTTTCAAGCCCTCTTGTTAGTAATATTTCTCAGCTATTTAGAGAAGCTGCTGTCCCCTGTGCCTACCTTTGTGTGGATTTATGGGGCATAAGGAATCAGGGCTGATCTGCTTGGCCAATTGTTCAAGGGTAAGTGGGAATTTGTGTTTTTCCCCCCACTTACCTGTGCTCTGTGCTACACATTCAGCAGCATAAACAAATTCAATGTATTCAGCTTGCCAAGAAAGATTAGTACTTAAGAGTTGAAACCAGGGCAGATTGCATTTCAAGCTGGTTTCCCCTTCCCCCATTTTCCCTTTGCCTCCAGCTTTTTTCTTTTTTTTTTAATTATTCAGGTTAGAAATGAAATGCAGTGGTTATATTATGCTAATATCAAACTCATTAACGTTAGGCAGCAAAAATATAGGAAGTAGCCTGCCAAAAGCTAAGCCTTTGCTTTTGCATTCATCCAGTAAAGTTCATTGAAATGGGAATTCATCCCTTTCCTCTGGATTAGAACTAAACTCCTGGTGTATTTAAAGAGCTATATAAGGGATACTGGCTCAGATGATGCTCCTAGAAAAGTAATATTCAATATTATTGCTTTATTACAACTTTAGTTCTGTGACCTTATGTAGAAAATGCGTCATCCAGGCTCAGACAGGATCTAACCAGGAGCTTTGTCATGTGTACCAGTGGCCGGGTAGGTGTGCCCCAGCTGACAGTGTCCAGCATTACAGACCTTAAACTTATTAAGAAATATGTTATTACCATTAAGTACAACTACACTAGAAGTACAAAGGTAGATTTTTTTCCTTGTTTCAAATTCCTGTTCCATGAAAATCCCTGGTTTCCCTTGCCTGTATACTTAAAAAAAAAATAAAAAATACAATAACCTTCTAAAAATACTCTTTTTGTGCAATTAATCTTTCTAGAGTTTAGGACTAATTTTTGCAGACTTAACTGGGAAGGATGTGGCTCCAGATTACAGTATTTAATAACAGGGATAAATACATCCATAAATTAATTATTTTCTGGGAACAACTTTTGACTTGAGGGACAAAAGA